ATTCTCATTGAAAATTGGGCAGATCATTTATCTGATCAGCGAGTCACATAAATTAGTTTCTTGGACAATTGGTTTGCTCGGACTCTCCGGGTTTTAAAACACAACCACGAAGAGATTTAATATCATAAAAATCACTTATTTTCTACAAGGAGGTTACAAATACACATATGAAAATTTGATACATGGGAGGGTGTCACAATGTTTGAAATTTTTTCATCTAAACTTTGAGCCTTGTCAAAATGGGCACTCCTACTAGTTGATTTTTTAACTCTTATATTATTTTCTTCATACACTTAAATCTACAATTTTGATGTGTATTCTTCTCTTAGGTTGGTTATCACATCGTAGAGGTTCATCATTACCATTGTAGCTTTTTTTCAATTAATTTGGGTCGTCCATATGAATCCTGATCCGTTATTATGCTTCATTAAAAATCCCCACAGGGATTATCGTGCTTCGTTAAAAATCCCCACAGGGAGGCCATCTCCAAAATTTAAAGTCACAAAGATTATGCACCAATCTTGGAGGAGGGGCGGCGCAGGAAATCAGTTGAGCTTTAAAATATAGTATGAACCGGCATTCTCATACAAAAGCCATGAGAAACACGCTCTTCAGGTTAAACAACTATAACCCCGGTTAAATCTTAACTAGGGTTATCGATATTTTAAACGATGCAAGGAGAGTTGCATGGTCCTTGTCACAACCATAGCACCAATGTTTTATCAGTGTATCACGTGCGTTTGTCTCATTTTTTTGTGTGCACGTGTGTTGGATTTGAACTTTGTTACGTTATGCATTGCAAGCTCCAAATTGGTGTTATTTGTATAGTATGATCCATATGGTCTTGAACTTAGTGTTCCAGTGTTGAAGCAACTCTTTTTTTATATCTATATATATAGAGGTTGAGATGATCAATTGGAAAGTTTTTCCATATTAAAGCCAAGTCGTTAGATTCGCTTCGGAGTCTTTTTCAATTCGGCGACAAAAATGAAGCAATTCGGTGTTTCGACTTATTCTGGAGAAGACTTCGGACTTTTTTTTAAAAAATTAATATAAATAAATTAGATATTTATATATAATATATAAAAATAATAGATTTTTTTTTTAAAAAAAAAATACTTTTATAAAGGTATTTCTCTTCTGACTGAAGCAGCCTGAAGTGCCCTGAATTTGGCCCAAGCCGCAGCACCACGCTTCTCTTTGCTTCGATTTATGTTTAAAATTCAAGGGCTTGGACCTCTTCGACCGAACCGAAGCCAATTTGATATTTAGAAAGCTGACACTTTATGTAAACTTTTTATTATCTAAACGTACAGCTTTTGCGTTAGAGTTTATCCAAAGTACGGATCTAAGTCGAATGGCATACTAGCATTTACAACTAACTACTTCATATGTCAAAATATTTTATGCTCCTGATGGTGTATACTGTCCATTTACTCCCCTAGATTAAACCTTTTCTAGGATTTATTTAAGGATCCTTAATTTTGGAATGTAATCTTCCATAGATTGACCTCAAAAAAAAAAAAAAAAAAATCCTAACTACACTCTTTATGCACTTGAAAAAAAGTAATATCTCAAGATTGAATAGAGGCCACTGAAAATTTTGAAGGTGAGATCTACGCATTTAAAAAATCTAAAATTCAATTTTCTTTATTTTGAGAATAGTCAACTAGTGATTCTTAGAGGTAGTTTAAAAAATCCAGATCAAAAGAATCCTCCCAAGTAGATTTTCTTTCCAAGGGAGTAGAATGTACACTATGCTCCTGCATTTAATGAAATTGATATTTCAATACTTGATCAAGTCATACACACTTAAATGATTTTATTTTATTAAAAATAATTGTTCATTCATAAATTCTCTAGGTGGTGACCACATGATAAGGACAAAACGGACATTTAAGAAATGTAAGGCAATTATGTATTATTGGGTGCATGGCAGATGCTTGACGTGAAACTAAGATCAACATCCATAAAACAGCACGTTGTCCGTGAAAGCATTTAATTTCTTTTCTTTTTTTTCTTTTGGATGAAGTTTCTACGGGGCTCGGTTCTATGGAAACCAAATAAAGCCTCATTTCAAATCTTTGTTTAGAAAGCACTTTCGACCGCAGAAATCTCCATGGTGGCTCTCAAATCAATTTCTAACACCGATAATAAAATTTTAAACTCAAAAAATAATACAGATCTATGGATTTTTGAATACTTACTTTTAGGGCGAAATGCATGGTCTAGATAATTTGTTAAAATATGCAATATTTTTTAGAGTTTGAAATCCTAATTTTTTTCACAATTGTAATTTTTAAGTTGAAATGATCGATATAAATATTTTTCAATACTTCAATTACAATTTTTGATGAATTGTCAGGTGAGGCTTTGTTTATTTTGATAGGGCTATTTTCCTTTTTCTTTTGAGTTACAACCATATGCCAAATGTGGGATTTTGCTAGTGATATGATCAAGATGTTTGATAAATGAATCATGTGGACATTTTAGAGGTTAAGTTTCGTATTGGATAATGTTGGCCACCATAGTCATGAATTTAAA